GTCGTTGGTTCTTGAAGGTTGAAGGACAGCAGCTCCTTAACCAGCCCAGATGCAACGAAGGCCTGACTATGCCCTGCCTCTAGCCCAGTCGATCTGATGGGTGTAATTTCCCCAAATTAGTAGGTAATTTTCACGTTGCATTTATCAGCCCAACGTACGTGGTCTTGAATTTACTCTCAGGGGAGAGAATTGCATTTATCAGCCCAACATATGTGGTCTTGAATTTACTCTCAGGGGAGAGATGCCAGATCGGTCTCCCATTTTAGTAGGATTTGGGTAAATTCTTAAAATGCTGCTTTTGCCCTGGCTGGGGTCAGCCTGGCACACCAAGCAGGGATAGCAAAGAGCCTGGGTGATGTTTGAATCCTGCAACTAATGAGCTGTGCTCAGACCTCAGAGCCCGTCGGTGTGAAAACAGCATCCGTGGCCGCTGCAGCCTCTCCCCGCAGTCGTCTGCTTCATTTGCTCGCGATGACTCAAGGTTGCGAGTCCGTTAGGGTTGGTTGTTCTCCTCCATGCTCGTGAAGCGCAGGGTGGGATTGAATATTTATTAAAACACGGATACTTGTAATAACAGGAGAAGCAGCATAAACAAGAGCATCTGAGAGGCAGCTACACCAGACGGTATTTTTGTTTGGACCAAATAATCCCAAATTGTTGCTAATTACAATATGAAAGATCAGTTAATTCCTGTGATTTGCTTAAGAGCAAGCTTAATAAGATACAAGAGCAACCAAAGAGAAGTTTTCTTTTTCCTCCCAGTACAGTTGTGAGCCAAGGACGTATCAGGAGCAGCACAGGCGGTGACTAAGCCTTCGTTGAAACCCCCACGTGCTAAGGAGTCCTGTGTGCTCTGAATGAGGATGAGGGTTCGGATGCTTTTTTACCAAGTCAGGGGACAGGTAGTGGAGCCGAATCGATTCCTGTCACTCAGGAGTTGCTCTGGAGGAGCAGGATTATGGATCAGGGTGATGCTGCCGCAGTTTGATCTGGAAATCAATAGAGAGACGGAAGTTGGGCTTGTGGGGATGTGGCAGAGACGATGATTTGGGGTTTGATGAGATTTTGCTCTGCGAACAACTGAGTCACTAACTCCTCTTCACGTCCTGATTGACAGAGGGAAAGGGCTAAATTCAGCCTGGATGCAGCTCTCTCAGAGTCCCCGGGGCCCCCCTGTATAATTTGAGTCCAGAATTTCTCAAACGAGCCAGGGCTCCCAAACGCTTCAGTCTCCTTCTTTGCCTTTGCACCTAGCTCAGGAATAACCCTTCACTCTACCGAGCCAATACTAATTCAATTTGTATCAACCTGGGACTTTGATAACCTTCCTCCTGTCTTGTTTGTAGCAACCAAATTAAACACAGCAGGCAACGTTATAAATACAAACTGTGCCAAGTCACCTTGGCGTGCCTCAGAAATCCCAAAGTTCATAGGGAGCTGTTCAAATCTCAGACGTTATCAGATATATGGCCCGTCCTTCTGCCGGCTGGCCAAACTTGCTCATTTGTAGGATGTGGAACAGCATTTTTGGTTTGCACATTTGCCCTGTTGTTCCTATGACTGTAATACACGGCTTAAGGTAACTAAAGGGTTGCAAGGTGCTACTTAAACCTCAGCCGCTGGCAGAAAGCTTGTATGAATGGGAGGGATGGGTGAAATCCCTGGTCTTTAGGATGGACTGCAACATGTGAGTCCAGAGTTGTTGGTCAGGCTGGAACGCCCGGCGTTTGCAAGTCCAAGTAGAGCTCCTCTAAAAATCACACTTTGTCATTTTGAGGTTTCAGCTAGTGAAGGAAAGACCTGGTGAACTCTGCTGGTCCTCAGCAGCTGGCTCAGAAATCCAAACTTTCAGACCTGATAGTCAAACCCCTAAGCCACCCCTCTTCGTCTCTGACATGGTTTCTTCTTTTTCCTCGTTTGTTCTGCTTTACGTCACTCGGTGGCACGGACTGCTCCAGCATCTGCTCAGCGTCGGGGAGCATCAGCTGTACCGTTGCACCTGTGACGCTAATTAGCAAAACATGAGAAGGCTGAAATTAAGATACACGCTGAACTGCTCTTCACGCTTCAGCTTTGCTTTCTTTTCCAGAGCACGGTAATTGTGGAGAAGACTGTGCAAGACCTGATGAACCTGATGCACGACTTGAGCGCCTATTCGGATCAGTTCCTCAACATGGTGTGTGTGAAACTCCAGGAGTACAAGGACACCTGCACCCTTGCCTACAGGTACAGGCAGGCTTGGCAACCGATGTGTGCTGGAGCTACTGCTCTTGGGCTTTTGCTATTTTGCCACGAGTAGGCAGGAGTTGTAGAAATCATCTCTGCTGGGATAGTCAAGGATATTTCGTTCTAGGTGGGGAAAAAATCTGAAATAATGGTCATTGGCATATGGAGAGTCTTGGCTTCCCAGAGACTTTATCCACACCATACTGTGGGTTAGGCTCTTTAAACGTGGATGACAGTGGTAGTGGAGCTTAGAAACCACACAGCTTTTCTCTTAATCAGGCAAAAGGTGACCTCAGGTTGGAGGTGGAGAGTAATAAGGCATCAACTTCAAAATAAATAGCTGTATGTAGCTATCGCTTTCTTGTAAAGCAAGTCACATCCTTCCATTTGAGTGTTCCCAAGAGATTCGGCTACATTTTAACTAATTATATTGAGATTTGATTATTCAGATCGCATGGCAATGTAGGAGTTAGTAACCACGACACACCATGTAAATACACACACATTGCGTTTTGGGAAACTTTCCCAAAATCTTTCTGTAAACTTATTCTTTCAGGGGCTCATCAAATGCTCCATCCTGGGCTGTCTTTGTTCATTAGCATTTTTGGGTGATCCATCTCTAACTGCTTCCCCAGCCACGGTGTGGGAGCTAAACTCAGCGTGGTCCCGCTGGGCACAGGGTTATCACACTGGGTTGTTTGGTTTAAGTCCTTCGGGTACTTGCTTTAGCATAGAATTCCTAGGTAACCGTCAATAAGTAACTTATTCTCCGTACATCCCAGTTGCCCATCTGTAAAATGGCCCTTCCTGGAGAGGGGGACCAGGAGCATGCCCTGCACCGTGGCGATAAATACTTGCATTGAAAGACACTAAAGATGCTGCAGCAACGTGGGCTATAATAGCTGCTATATATAATCTCCTTTAATGGCTAATTGAGGCTGGCGATAGCAGGGGAAGCTGAAAAAGCCCCTTGTGTTTTCTGACCAAGAGCATTAAGAAATTACTTCCTATTGCCTGATTTCATTCAGGAGAAGCTTCATCTGGTGAGCAGCTGCATACGACCTCATTATTATTATTATTAATAATGCCAGCAATAGCAGTGAGCACGTATGTGGGCTAAACTTCGTCTGAGCGCTCGTGTAAATTGGTAGCTGCTCGTGTGCCATTGTCCGAAATGCTCATATTTTATCTGAAACTTCGCTGACTTCAGCCAGACAATAGATGTAATTTCTTTGGCTTGAACTTAAAGGTCCTTCCTTCCTTCCTTTGCTGATACCATTCCTGGATTTGGCACCTGCTGAGGAGTAATTAGGACAGCCCTAATTTGGCAATATCCTGATTACAGCAGGAGGAAAAACAGGAAACGTTCTAGTTTTGCTGCTAGCAAAATGACTGACTGAAATAGCAATCTATATACATTTCAAATGATGCAGAGGAATATAGCAGCTCCTCGCCTTTCCCGGGGCGAGCGGTTCGATCCGCGGGGATGTTATGCCCTCTGCAGGGATCTCGCATCGGCACGGCTCCGTGCAGCCTTGCCCTTTGGACCAGGGTTTTCCCTGGGGGTTTGGGGTTCGTGAATCCTCATGTTGGTAATGTTAGTGGAAGGAAGGATCCTTTAGAGCTGCTTAAAATCAGAATAAACTCCTTAGAACTGTGAATTAATACGATCGGGCAAAGCTATCGGAGCAAGGGAGTGTGCGTCTGTTCTTGAGATGTCAAGATAGTGAGAATTTGGGAAGCCAGAGAGATGGTTTATGCAAGATTTGCACATGGCATTCGTTCGTTCCCCATGTGCATGTGCTTCTTGAAGGGGAATATGAGCAAACGTGGATGAAATGTATTCAAATACAGGCTCCTCAAAGCAAGACTTTTTTATTCGGCGTCCTTTGAAGAACAGATAGCTCTGTCAGGACGTCAGCGCTAAGAAATGCACAGCTGAGATTTTTCATGTTTGAGTTCCATTTGGCTCGCATTTTCTAGTGAATGCAAAAAAAACCCGACGGGGCTGGATATGAATGGATTGGACGTTTATATAAGTAGCAACTATGGATTTGCGAGTTTTAATTGATGACGAATTTTGGAAACGTATTTAATCTGATGTAGGTGAGATGCTTTTGCAAATTACGTGTTTGTAAGAAGTGCAATTTCAGTTTGACGCTAACTGTTTACAAATGTGAGTTGTATTTTCTGACTAGTTTATGAGGGATTGGGGATTAAAATGAAAACAAAAGTGAGGGAGAGAGAGACACAAAACCTCCTGCTGTGTTGGCAGTGTTTTTCTTAAGTCTTGTCCAGCCCATGTCTAGCTACTTCTTCAGCAAATTTCTGTGAAAGCAGCTCTACTCATGAGTTAAGTCAAAATAGTTAAACCATTTTTATGAGACTTTGGGAAATACTGAAAGGCCATAGAAGGATTCACAGGGACTGGGAAAAAACCTGACCAGTTCATGGTAGCTACCCTTAACATGAGTCTTTCTTTTTAATCACTTGCCAACACCCTGCTTGGACAAGCACCCTGCCTTGGGCGCTAAAACTAATCTCTTTCCATGTCTTTCTACAGAAGTTGGCCCCATGTATAGTTACGTTCACGTTGAAGTTGCACGTTTTTCTTTTGTAGCTCCAACTTTAAGCTCTATCCTATGTGTCCACCCCCTTCCTACCAATCTTCATCCTCCCTCCCTTGAACAACCATCCTCTGGTGCGTTTTTCAGCCTATCTGAAGAGTCTGAGTAAAGGCACCACTCGCCCAAATGACTCTCTTTAGGCTGTAAAAAGAGATGGACATTTCCAGAGTGATGCACCTTAATTAAAATGTGCCTCAACTCTCTGGAGGTGCCCAGCTCTCTCCCTCAGCTGTGAAGGCAGTTTAGGGTGACCAGCCTCCTGGCTGAACTGTCTCAGCTGAATCTGTAAAATTAGGTGGGGTGAAACTGGGCCTAAATCTCTCCAAATGTTATGGGGTGGGGGGGGGTGGGGGAGGAAATCACAATTCCTGCATTCCAGCCAAGCAAAATAAAATGAAACCACTTTTTATTGATAAGGAGATGAGGAGTAGATGAATTCATCCAAGGTGTGGGGTCTGCGGTCAGACTGGATTTCTGGAGTCCCTGGGAAACGCTCTTGCCACTCAGTTTACTACTCCTCCCTGGCATCTTCCTCTTCTTGCATTAACTTTTTGGTTTTTAAATTGTCCTTTTGACTCTTTTGGGGCAGGGCTGTGTCTCCCTCAGGCCGTTAGGTACCTGGCCCATGCTGAGCATACTTTTAAACTCTTCAGCAATGCGAGCAGAGCTCAGCGTGGAAACATCCCCTTGGCCCTGGCAAGAGAAAAAAAATCATTGCCAAATACATTTGGCACAAGACAACAGAGTCCAATTAGCCCCTGTGGCCACCAGATGTTTTCTTAATGAAAAGCCATGGCTCCCCCAGCTGTGTCCGGGGTCGTTCCCCATCACTCTGTTCCCAGCTTGAGGCAGCAGTGGTGCAAATCTGGGACCATTACCACCAGCAGATGTTTTCTGGATAAAAGCCACTGAGCTGTGGAGGGGTGAACCCTCCTTGCTCATGAGCCATCACCTGTGTAAGCGTTACACCTATTCCCTACCCCCTCCCGGGAGCTGGGTACAAACAGATGGCATTTTCTTTGGCCCATTGAGCTGTGAATTAATTAGTTGATTATGGCACTGGTGGTAGCAAGTAACCCTATTACAGCAGCAGGGATAATTAGATAGGAGGTTGGAA